AAATGGCAATGCACAACCGCTTTCCAGGTTGGTTGGAACTCGTGGTATATACATAAAAGTTCGACGTCTCCAAACGCCAATTTCGAACGCATGCAGCCAAGGATAGGGTTTGCAAGTGAGTTGTCGCAGAACAGACGAACAGACGCAAAGAGAAACATCAGGAAGCGGGTAAGAAAGTGCGTCTACGCTTTGGGGTTGTCCACCCTTACATGCGGACGTTGGGGCGTAGTAATGGAATGGTTATATCGGACCACATGCGAAGGTGGATCGACACAGCCCTAAGGTGCATGACCGAGATAAGCACCACAGTTAGGGCCAGACAGCACTTTTCGAGGGGTTTGGTTGGCGAAGCCAGTTCTCGTAGGTATTGGACTAACCATTATCAGCAAGGCGAAGTTTTGAAGCTCAGTCGAGACACTGTGCCACAGCGATTACAGGATCGGAGGGATCGTGGGTGAGGAGGACCGGACGCGGAATCGATATTGAGAAACAAATGGAAGCGAAGGCGCGAACTCATAGTTCGTCAGTTGCGCATGAATTACCACTAGTAGTAATCGATTGACTCTGACGATTTGCGTGAGGGCGATGTGAAGGAATGAAGGGATTAAAATAATGACTGACGAGCTGCCAAGACCCAACTTCCGGTTGAAAAGCCCCGAGAATTAGGCTAGTGGATCGGCGCGCGTGGGTAAGGCTCATCCTAAATTTAGTTAAAGAATCGCCTAGATCAGCCCGAAGAAGACCGACCTGAGTTGGGGCAGCGTCCAGTTAAAACGGGATCGGGCTGTGGAGAGCCAGGGACCTGGTGGCACATAAGGACGGGGTGCAGAACCACTACACCAGGAAGGCGGATGGAAGGGCAAGACTGAAGACTTGTGGGATATCGCTCCATCTGCAGGAATTCGTTCATCCTTGGATCCTCGCCAGTTCATTGTTGATTGGGAGGGGAAGACAGAAAGAAGCGGTAAAAATAAAACCGAGCAACCGCGATAAAGCTCGAGTCCTCCAACCCTCCTTGGTTCACCCGATTTCCCTGCTGAAGTGGAACAACAGAATAAATTGGGAATGCCGTCCAGATCCATGGTGTGCAGACGGATAGTTAATCGTTAATCTCTTTGTCATGTTTCTTTTCTTTTTCCTTCGTTAAGCTGAACTTTGTCGCCAACTATTCCTCTCGATCCGACCCTCGCTCGCCCAAACAAACACACACACAACTCTCTCTCTATCTCACGCTCTCTCCGCCTCTGTTTCTCTGCTCTGTGGAAGGATCTCCATCCTCTATCGGGGACCAACACTCTCTTCTCGCATATCAAAGGATTATATCCTTCTTTCACACTCATTTTCCAGCCTGATCGACCCCCGGCCCTCGTTTCCAGCCCCTCTTGGCCCCGCCTCTTCAACAGTTTCAGACAAACAGCCAAATGCGCTAGAGCGGTCGGAAAAGCGATTCCAGGGCTCTCCTCCGCCACCAACCAACCAGCTCGCCCGTCCTGTTGGAGTGTTCGATTGAGAGTTTGGCTGAACGAGCCATCTGCTTGCCCAGAGCCTTAACCTGTTCTGTGATCTTTTTTTACCCGCGTCGCCTTAAATTTATCACTCTTGTTGCTCTTTGCCCTCGTATCCCCATTTCCAACCACGAACTCTCTGCGATTTTCTCCGCTGCCCTTCACTCCTTACCATCAGCCCATGTTATTCAACAAGTGAGCTGGCGCTAAAACACCTTCGTTGTCTTATTTTCCAAGTGAGGTTATCCTTTGATTTGGACGTTCTAGTTTGCGCTGGCATCAATCTGACCTGCCCATGTCAGCCTAGAACCCAGAGCCAACAATTGGAATACCTCCAGCTAAACTGTCATTCCGGTTTTGACTTCATATCATTAATATTTTCTCCTTTACCCTTGTATAAGTCTCGTACTCTGTCCCTCCCTCTTCTCGATGCAGTGACCCTCTGCGACCATGGGTTCGCCTCGTTATTCGGAATTAGGACTGTCCCTGGGAATACTCGAGGAAGATTTACGTTGGTATTGGAAGTTATTAGCAAGCATCTCAGCTTGGCTTCTTCTGGCTGGGTATGTCGAAGTTAACGGCCTTGTCGCCCACAGAATTTCAAAAGACCGAACTAATCGATATATTGGTGTGTTTCTCTAGGTTTGTTGTTTTCCCACTTGCAATCGATAACCATGCGAACAACATGCGCGGCGGCCAGTTTGGTTTGACCGCTGCCGCTACTGCTCTTATCGGTGTTGGCTACCTGGTTTGCGTTGGTTTCTGTTTGCGGTGGAAGAAGAAGCATTATCTGGTTGACTTCATTTTCATGTATGCAAAATATACGCTGCCTACCATTTTAAGAGCTTCCGCGAAAATTGGAACCTTTTATCGCAAAACCATGGTACTGACAATGATTCCCGCACCTCACATAGACCATGCTTCGGATCAAGCCTAATAGGCGTCTTTAACGTCGCCTTGAATATTCTAGTCAGGCGATTAACTCCCCTCACCGCCCTCTCTATTTCAGTTATCACCATTTCCACCGTTTCCACCGCCGTATTTGGAGTTGCAGCAATCTATAACTCCCATAGTGTCGTTTTCGTCCCACGACGTTCAGCCGTGCGGCGGGGGCGGAACGGAGAGGTTTCAGTCGACGATGCAGAACTGCAACGAAGACAGCTTTTACGACTTTATTTACAGCAAGGCGCGGACCAGGCGCCGAGTCCTGAAGTATCTCACAGCACCTTCCGCATCGATCTCCCCGATGCGGGCTTAGACGCAGATGAAGAATTGACAGTCAAACCCCAAAGGCCATACGAACGTCCCTTACCACCTTCTCCACCACCAGGTTACAAGCCTGGAAGGCCAAGTAACCGATCACCACCGCGTGACGGAAATAATCCTCCTGCCACAATACGTCCTCATCGACATGAACCAAGAGAGATGAGACGGTCCATCGTCGAATTGGGCGATCTATAGCCAATTTCATGCATATTTATTCCATATTTCGATCTACACATGTCTAAATCCCATCTCCACGGAGAGCAGGATGCCTTTTGGAATGCATTCGAAATGGACATCTTTTTCCTTTACCGGGCTGTGACAATAATTCTTTCCTTTTGTTCCCATACCTTGATATCTCTCGGGGTGTTTTTTTTTTTCTTTTTCTGTTTTCTTTTCTTCATTTTATAAAGCGTTATTAGCGATATCCCGGCAGGCGCAGGTTTACAATTTCTTATTTCCTTTCTAAATTTAGTATTTTTGATTTCTCTGTCGATTTATTACTTTCTTTCTGTTTGACTTGATTTTTAACCCACTACAGGATGTCGAGTCTCTTCCGCACAATTTCGCATCGTCGAATCTCCGAACCATTTCCTATCCATATCCGACCATCTTCCGTTATCCCAATATACCACACAATGGCCCCTGCCAAGCCCTCGCCATGTGCTGCTTAAATGCTTCCTCTTTACCCTATTTGACAGAAGCGAAAATTGAGATGGGCAAATTTTTACGAACGCGAAATACGAACACGAAACAACAATCAAAATGATAATGTCAATAAAACGTCATTAGCGAAACAGAATCTCAACATATCATAATAATATAGTCGATGAGACCCATCTCATCACCATATATCATCGATAGATTATCAGGAAATGACTGTCATTTTCATTCATACTCTTTCCCCAAACCAAGGCGAGAGAATGGGTGGAAAAAGTAACAAAAATAACCACGAATACAACAATGAACAAACGTGAACACAACCAGAGCCACAAGTCACTGGGTATATCACTTCTCTACTTTAAGAACGATCCATTCGTCCTCGCAGGCTGCTCATCATAATAACCCTAGAACGCCTACCACTCCATATCTGGGCCCTAAGCTGCTTCGCAGTTACCTCTGCTTTTTCCTCATCGATTATAATCTTCTTATGACCGGTTCCAGCTTATGCTGCATCAGCCAACAACTGTGCATGAAACGTCTTATCCAGGCTAATGAACCAAAATGCCGCGTCATCGACACTTTCCCACACTGTCAACAGCCCGTGATTCTGCAAAATCACCGCCCTGCCATCCCCGAGCGTCCCCTTCGCGATTCAGCACTACACCACGGAATTCGCTGTAAACGGCGTGGGATTGGTAGAAGCGCAGCGCGTCCTGGGTCATCATGTCGAGTTCGCGGTCAAAGACGGCTTTACCGGAAACACTGTGTGCATGGCAGGCAAGGCTAACGTTGTGGCGAGCCTTGTGAATTTCGGAGTGGATGGCAAAGGCAGCTGAATTTACGGGCTCCGTGCCGATGACGACGTCGTCGTTTTCATTGATTAGGATCAAGTCTGAGTCGGAGATTTGGGAGAAGTGCTGGGAACGTGGGTTTAGTCCTGTTTCCATCCTTGAAGTTAGCATTGGTTTGTGATGGGTGCGATGTGGATGTTTATATGGTCATCAGCAGGTGGAGGGAGCCCGATTTGATATATATATATATATATATATATATATATCTATGCCCCATTTCCTAGAGGATATCCTTACGCCCTGTCCCCGTGCTCCTTGCCCAAAATTACAGATTCCAGATAACGACAGATATGAAAAATCGGGCCGGCAAAACGAATGTGTAGAAATCACTGGAAACGTACAAAAATGATCCGTCAAAAATTGGATTTTTCACTAATACGTGACCTGCCACTCTCTCATCGAAAGCGCGATTGGCAAAAACCCGAAACGCCGGCTGCTAGGTGCTGTTTACGGTAGAGCCTCTCTTCCTCCAGACCGTTGAATTTTGGATATTGCCTAATGTTCAACTTCTGGACGGTCACGGTGCGGTTGTGTATCTGGACTTTGTTCAATGACTTTTTCTCTTGCTGGCGCCGGTCTTTTTTGCTCATGAGAGCAATCGGCTCTTCTTTGACGATGGAAGGCGCCATGGCTGTTTTGTTTTTATTTCCTTTTTCCTCTTGTTTTTGCCTTTCCTTTCTTTTTACCCCTTACCTTTTATGGTGTTTCACGCGCAAGTTTGGTTTTTTTGGATAGCTATTTTTTATCGTATTTTCCAATAACGTGCGTAATGGATGAATGCGTTTATCGAAGATATCAACCACCAGTGCAATAATCGTACTCCGTCCCTCTCTCCCAACCCTGCATGTAAATCTTTAGATGATTCAATCCCCACCCATCAAGGCCATCCCCTTCCACACCACTCAGAATGGGAAGGGAGGGGAAACGAAAGAACGTGATTCCACCGAAAGATCGGATCTTCTGCGTGGCCTTCTCAATTGGGGAGGGATGGGGAGTTCCGTTCAAGGAGGCGCAACTTGACTTTGGATAGAAAAAGCCGCGTCTGTATATTTTGCCTTGATGATAGTTAATTTCGATTCCATTGCACCCAACTGAGTGAATAACTTGAAGTAACGCATGCGCGTTCTACAATGTCCTTTAGATAGTTGACCAGAGAATAATGATGTTCAAGTGATATCTTGTAGAGGAGGCTGCACTGATCTGTATATCTATAGAGAAAGTCTCTGTAAAAACTCCATTCTATAATGTTCACTCTGTTGTTCATTTCTTCTGATAACTATTTTGTTGCAGCTCTATTTCTCTTGTGTAATTCATCTCAAGCATGTTTCAGAGCATAATATCAAGTTTCTGCGAAGGGTCTGAGAGAAGGGAGAAAAAAAAAAAAAGGACCCGTTATGTGTCCACTGCGAATGACTTTTCAATTATCAGTGTTCATATCCATCAACTTCATGAACATGTAATATGTATGATCAATGAATGTGATATTCAGTTAGCAATTGATGAACTCAATGGAGAATTGATTTTTAATTACACTGCTACCTTGAAAAAATAGAGAATCAATCAAATTGCACCGATATAGTGATTCAAAGGCTAGCAGCTCTCGATATCAGAAGCTATCTAATATTCTGTTGAACTCTTATAGATTCTGAAGAATAATATTAGCTACCTAGGCTATTTTATCCGTGCTGGACCTCGGTATATCCACTCAACCCCAAAGCTTCAACTCAGCAGGCCATATAAAGTTCAAACAATCATTCGTTTCTAATTTCTCCAGCATAAACTTTTTGATTAATTCTAGAATTCTTGGGAGTTGGATTTTTTTGGTCTCTGCTGCATTATATGCTTCCTCAAGCAATTCTTTATCTTCCAACCTCCATATCCGCCACTTCCGTTCGTTTCCCCATCTTACGACCGCTATGAAGGTAACCCTTTTCGAACCTCCGCCGAAGGATCCGTCCAAATCTCATATAGAGAATATCCTCGAGTTGACCCCCGTGTCTGACTTTGGGCCGGTAAGAATCCATCAATATAACTCGTCAGAACAAAATCCGGCCGGTCATATTTAGCAGGATGCTAACCAAGTCTCTGTACAGGACGTGTTCACGAACACCCGTCCACTGTGGCATCCGCCGGGTGCCCGTGGAATCTACGGTGGTGCTGCTATCGCTCAATGTCTTGCTGCTGCCCAATTAACCGTTGACCCTGAATTTTCACCGCACAGCATGCATTGCTATTTCGTGCTGGCCGGTGACTCTGAAATTCCCATCATATACCATGTCGAACGGGTCCGGGAAGGACGGTCCTTTGCGACTCGAACCGTACAAGCACGCCAAAGGGGCCAACCCATTTTCACCACGACGATAAGTTTCGACCGTGAGGGAGGCGGCGGCAAGAAAAAAGTCGAACATAGCACGAAGAAACCGGATGTAGCACTGCCACCTTCGAACGGGAATACTGTCGACAGAGGCCCTTTTGAGACGAGAAGGGCTGGGATTCTTAATAGTATGTAGATAAGGAGAGAAAAAAAATGAGAATCCTTTGACGTTTTCCCCTGGACTTAAATCGGAAAGCCAAACTAACTCCCCCCAGGAACCTCCCCCAACGCGGAGCAAAAAGCAATCCATCAATTCATTCGAGCGCGAGGCACCATCACTGGCGGTCGGAAAGCCCACCTTTCTGCGTTAGCATACATGTCCGATAGCTACTTCATCGGCACCGTTGCGCGAGTCCAAAACATTCCCCGTTTCGCATCCCCCAGTGCCCTAAAAGCAGCCATCTGCAAGCTGAAAAATCCTTCTGATCTGGACATCGAGGAAATCGAGAGATCCACCATGGAGCTTGCGCGGCAAGAAGCTGCCGAATTTTCGGCTGGGTACGCGCAACAACACAGTGATGATACCTCGCATGAACCACCGCGGGAGATGGGCATGATGGTCAGTTTGGATCATACAATCTACTTCCACAGTCGTGGAGGGTTTAGGGCCGACGAATGGTTGTTCACCGAAATGACTAGTCCATGGGCAGGCGACGAGAGGGGACTGGTTATGCAGAGGATCTGGGCGCAAGATGGGACGTTGGTGGCTACATGTGTGCAGGAGGTGAGAACTGTGGAATCCTTTCCTTCAACCTCACCAACTCTCGTCCCCGCTGTGAGTATATTTTTTTTTCATCCATATCCTTTGCTGACACATGACGATTTTCACAATTACTAGGGCGTTGTGCGCTTGAAACAAGACAGCCTCAACAAGGCAACAAAACTGTAAGCAGCAATCAATCGCACGTTATGCCTGAATGCTTGGAATTATCTCCTCTTTTCTTTTTTTCTATGTTTCTATTTGCGATGCCATATTGCCGTCTTCTGAACACTGCTTTTTTCCTTGCTCTTGGGTTCGTAGAGGTTCGTGGATAGACAACTCTTTGTGTACATAGTTTTTTTATCTATTTTCTTGTACTGTTTGTGGGATTATGACTTGGTTGGCATCGATTGCTATCCCCCTTTTTTTTACTTTTCTTGTTCTGTATTACTTCTCATTGTGGCTATTACATGCACAGGGTTGGAATGTTTGATTTTCCTATTTTCCTATTTTTTTCATTCTCTTCTTTATTTGGCGGTGTGTTTGATGAAATCTCTGGCCCTATCCGTCCATCCAAGCTTATATGCACTATTATTTCTCGCAATTTTCACCACAATATTCCTACTTATTACCACATAAACGACATGATATTTGCACTGCCTCTGGCAGGAGGAAAATGCCCTAAAGATAAGCCAGCGAGCTCGCAGGCAGTACTATTCTCAGGTCTGCTACTTTCCGATCTCCCTAACAGCGCATATTTGAACGTTTGACATGCCGTCGACGTTCATACTCCCGGCCGGATTCTCAATAAACCACCATTGCCACGCATATTTCGCGGGAGATCATGACGTGGGAGCGTCCTGGCGTGGGAAAGGGACTCTGTAGAGTTCTTTGTCACTATCTTTATCATCACTTCTGCAACTGGCTACCGAGATATTCCCATCATTCGCACTGATAGACTATCTTCTACATGCGAACTCGAGTGACTGCGGTTGTAGGTGTCATACTCTCTACGCTGCAAGGTGCGCTTTCGGACTCGAGGTCTTCACGGCCAGTGATTTTTCTGCAGTAACCTTGAAAATTGACCCTTGAAAACGACACAGATAATGCAGCCCCACGCTTCAAAGATTGAAGCGTATCCTATGGACTATTTCCTTACCAAGATAGGAAATGAAAAAGGAGGAAACAGATATACGCTGAACATTTGTCTTCAGCAAACCTTCATCCGCAATGTCGGTGACACTCCGAAAATTCTATTTGCCAAAAAGCTCCTATTCACCGCAGCTGTAGATTGTATGTGACAAGGTCTCGAAAAAATCTTATCACAGTTTTCACATAAACCCTTCCTCACTATTGCGGGAAGTATTATTCGTAAATCGTGAAGACTAGGTTGTAATTTAATCGGGGAAGGTTGCTACAGCCGCAATACATGCAGAAACGAAAATTTCGAGATGAAGATAGGCTATGAACTTGTGCGCTCTTATTCAGTCCACTGTTATCTCATAACCCTTTATTTGTCACACAAGGAAGAGTTGATGAGGTTTCTTGAACGGGAATATACGGGAGAGGGACCTTGCGGGTATTACTGCTTCATAATTAGTATTTTTGAGGCGGCAACATTGGAAGGACTCATGACTTTCCCACGACTTGCCAACGAGATACAAAACTTCTGCCATGAGCCCAGCCATTCCATATTCGAATGCGGCGAATCGGGACTGGATATTGGACGACGTGTTCCTCATATCTTCATTTTGAGGGAAAAGTTCGATTTGATAGCAATTTGACCCAGTGCCATCTACTGCAGGAGCCATAAATGGAATAAGAATATATAAAATATGGACAAATAGTGGTTTTCTTCCTTCCAGATAGCAATAGAAGTAAGCATCAAATGGTTGACAGTTCAACGTGAACGGGGCTCAAATTTGAAGCCATGTTCACCTCTTGTCAGTGATTTCAACCCATCTAAAACACACCCACGGGCAGCATCATTAATACACCCCACATCACCTTCATCGCCCCAAGGGACTGTAGAATTAGGGGGTTATATTGGAGATTCGGGGTAGATTAAGGGGTTAGGCTTTGAGAACCTCGGAAAAACGATCTGCACCCAAAGGATGACTAATCATCATGTGTATGCTGTTTTAGTGGGTTTGAACCTTTTTCAAGTGTACATGTACGCCCTCTGCATCGGGACATAGCCTGTCAATCAATTTGCAAATGAAATGATGTTGGCCCTTGCTAAATCTTCTGTACAATTCTGCTTAGAAGGGCATTCACAGGGGTCCACAACAGGGTTCATTCTCCGATAGGGATTAACTTCCCGAAGACAATCTGGGATATTTTCTCGCGGCGTGGGTTTGGCTATTTATCGATTTCCTGGGAGGAAATCACCGACAATACGGCGCATGAGCGGGACCCCGCATCTACCCCATGGGGTTTTGATCGGTGGATGCTTGTTATTATTATATCGCAATGGGTCGGTGATGATTTTGTCAGGGTGACGGCACTCACTCTTGGAATTAGAGCCAGCAGCGCGGCACAAGCGCCCCCTGCTTTTAAACCTCACGCTGGTGTGCGAGTTGAGTCTGAGATACCGACTCTTACCGGCGTATATTAAGGGAACTATCCAGATGCACACCATATGATCTAGGAAGCTATGGATCACACCGGCATAAAACCTCAGAACATCGTTGCATTGCCCTTGTCAGCAATGCAATGTCAGCAACGCAATGTCAGCAACTCCAGCTTCTTGAGGTCATCGACTTGCAAGTTGCGAAATCCATTCAACTGGGAAGTCAACCAGATCAAGATGTTGCGGACATTGGGACACATGGAGCATAATCCCTTCCTGTTCCTCTATTTCTTCGACTCTATATTCGGCGCCTCTACAACCAGGGAAATCAAACCATCTTCATAATTTACCCAATTTACCTACCCTTCCTGATTGAATCGTTGAAAATGGTACAGCTATGGAAAACGGAGAGCAGTTACAAGGAGTGCAACCAAAGTGACAGCGATGAAAGCGAAGAAAACCCCCCCAAATCGGTATCGCATTTCTTTTGGGCAGCTATTTTCATCGGATTGATAGCGTTCGGCGCCCTCCTTATAGTCCTTGCCCCGAAAAATTGGCTTCGGGGAAACTCATGCGTGTTCGCGTCAGGTTCGAAAGAAGTGTCATCGTCACCGCAACAACAAAACGATGAGGATCTTGTTATGGACTGTGGAAAGACACGCGCAGAGGCAGTTGCTCGCGGTTGTGTCTTAGATATTATGGGGGCGGCATGGCTTCCCCAGCTGTGCTATGACAAGGAGCTTGCTGAAGAATCTGTATCGCCAGATACAGAGCTAGCGAAGGTTGGAGGTTCCGGAATATCCCAGTGGTGGAGGAATTACAATCGTACCGTTGAAATCTCTCAAGATCGGCTCCAATATCTCGATGATCTGGTGGGATATACCTGGGAGGAATTCCATGTGGCACATTGCTTGTACGATTGGCGAGCACTGGTCAAAGCGGCGAAACGGATTCGAAAAGGTGAACGGAATGTGTATGTGCATATCTCACTGCTGAATTATCAACATGCAAACCATTGCAGTGAGGTCATTGCCAACCAAGATCACCGAGCTGGTGCGACGGCAAAGGTCGATTTTGCACTAGGGAAATGCGTACGACTAGACATGTATTAGGCTCAATTCAAGTTGGAGTATTTTAGATATGGGAACAACCAGTTTAGAATGCCCACAAATCAACCCCTGAATTCTTCTTAAGGAGTCAATAAATTCTATACCAAAAACTATTCTTCATTCTATTTAAAAGTTGATATTCGTTCAAAAAATTAATTTTACAGGAAAGGGAAAAGGAGAAGAAGAAAATTCTATTCATGGTATATCGGGAAGCATTATGTCTCCAGGCCTCCTCTGAGCTTTGTCATTTTCACGAGAGCTCTGATGTTTCTCTGCCCACTTTCTGATTGCCTCAAAGTTTCGACATTTGTGGACAGTATTGAAATCAGCAAATGGTCCAACATGTTTCACCCACCATTGTCCCAACAGCCCTACATCTGCCGTACACATAACATGCTGACGAAGGATGTCGATACAATGTCCTGTTGATTGTTATTATTTACCAGTTAATGGGCATGTTCTTTCTGGGGATCATTGGGCATGACGCACCGATATGTGTTTTAAGCCTCTCCTCTGGATCCAAAAAGGGCCCTCCCCCCATCTTCGAATAATATTCGAAATTGAAATGTGAGGTTTGACGGAGCAAATTCTGTGGCAATCAATCAGCATACATTACATATATATGCTTGGAGAAATGGAGAAGCTGCGTCTGCCCACTCACCACACAATGGAGATGATGAAAAACCTCAATATGCGCGAAAAAGCCTCCACCTTGCTCTTTCATTCGTTTCACCTGCCCTTGTTTAATTCCGTAATTTTCTGCTTCATCCTCCGGAACAAGCACTGACGCGACTAGGAACCGGTTATGATATATGTTAACCCAAGTCCTCTACGATTCGATTCAACATAAACAACATGGAGATGGGTGACATACAACGCGTGCCGAGAGCGAGCCATGCTTCATCGACCAGTGGCCCTGGTGGTTGTCGGTAAATCGATGCTTTCGTGAAAGAGCCATTGAAGAGGACAGATTCATACGCTATATCAATATCCTTCATAACAGGCGAAGCTGGGTGCCCATCATCAGACAAAATAGATATGCTTAGTTCCACACTTCAGGACCAGCTATAACAGCAAATTATCAATTCCCTTGCTTGGACTACTTACAATATTGAGTGGTGTGTCTGCTGCATATTTTATCCAGATTTCTGGGTTTGAACTGTTCTGCAAGAAGTATGAAATTGCAAAACACAGAGATACCCAACACAATTGAGACAACAAAATGATTCAAATTCCGGAAATGTTGTCGGTTAGGAATTTTGTGTTCAGTTTCTTTCAAAAGAGAGAGATTCTCTTCTTCATCCAAATGTGAACCCATGTCTGAAATGCTCAGACTCACCATTCTGTGTATGTGTAGCCTCTGGTCTTTGGATACAATAGCTATCACAGAATGTCTTCGCAAAGTCGTCCTCCTCCACCTGCAAGTGGGAATTCGACTCCTGAGGCAGGGAGACAACAACCCCGCTAAAGATATCCGCGGCTTTTGTTATCCAGCTGCAGCTGACTGAGACTCCCACAGGATGCGTCTGAGAGTTGGAATAACGCCATATATACTAAGGAAAGGCGTTGTTTTTTTAAATGTAACCCAATATCTGGGGAAAGAATCGGTTGTCTGAGCATAAATCCGGGTTCCACGATAAAGAAACTTGCTGACTTCGAAACGGCATCAGCAGGCTGACGTCGATTCGGCACCACAGTGGAACATGTCAGCAAAACCTGCGACGCCGATGGCAAAATTGACAGTGCCGAGCATCAGGATTCTCTCGGCATTTCATCGCGACAGCAATTAACCAGTTGATGCAAGATGGGAGATTTCATTGAAAGAATACTTAATGCCACAGATTTGTGCCCTTTCAACATCTGTTTAGAACAAACTTCCACTCACATTCCATCAGAAAATCCAAGCGTCAACGTCAAAAGTCCTTTCTTTATCAAGAAAAACTCCAAAACAAAAACTCTACCAATCTCAAAATGAAGGCCTTCTACTCTTTCGCTCTCCTCATCGCAGCTGCTCTCGTCTCTGCCGCACCCGCTGACGTATGTACATACAATGGCTTGGATTTTGATGTTGCTGAACAATTGCTGATAGCTATTGCAGAAGCCTGCTGGCAAACTCGTTCCCAAGGGTGAAGTTACTGGCGGCCGCGAGTACATCTACTACATTGTTCCCTCTGCCGAAGATGATGGGGCCTATTAAGTGAATACTCTGACAACTCAAATTGAAGAGACAATGGTGGGTTCGGTCATGTAGGCCGGGAAGAACGTCGTTCTCTAGTTGGGTAACTGGGGGTGCGGGACGGCGGACCTTCCAGGGGGCGGAACGGGGATAATGTATCTACGCCGTAGTGCATAGCTTCTATCTATATGTGGAGGGATTCCAGGATTGACATGTCAGCATATCCCGAAACAGCTCTTCCAAGGAAATAGATAGAAACTTAAATCCAAGTGGGTTGCAAATTCTACATTCAAAGGGGAACCTACTTCGCATTGTAGCTCCTGATAACGTAGAGCAAAACCTGTAATAATCGTTACCAAACGGCTCTTTGCGGGGCATTGTAGAACTGAGCCAAGAACCGATGTGATTTCTTTGATAGTTATAGCAGTGGCTACGAGCAAAATAAGCCTAATTAATGTGACCAGACATGTAGGAATCGGATCCTCTCGCCAGCTAATGCATCATGCCCCCCTCCTAAGCTTGCTCCTAATTGATTCCCTTTCAGAAATGCCGTTTCACACATGTATATCTAAAGCGCAGTCTATACCCTTCATATTTGAGCTCTAACAATCATCTTTTTGAATAATCCATTTGCACTGAATATACCACGCGCCCAGGTCATTTAAGATGTTTAAAACCGACCCTTTCCCCACGAAGCCGAAGAAGAGATATTTCCCTCATGGCATTTCAGGCTGTGCTCTCTTTTCGGTCATTCTTTGTGCTATAATTTCACTTTGGGGAGCATACCTGATCGGATCGAGCCGCTACCATCTGGACAACGGCAACCGGGGGAAATCCCCTATTCCAACTTGTAAGTATCACACTCTCCCACGCCCTTTGGAGGGACATTTTTAGAGACTTTATGCGCTTTTCGTGGGAGTTGCCTTGCTGAGAGAAAATTTTCTGTCTCTCCTTTTTCTTTTTTTCTTTTTTTGCAGTACCGTTTCTGAAAGAGCCTGTTGTTTTCAACCCGGATCCCCGCTGGTCTGGCACGGACCCCCTAACCCACAAACATTGGGAAGAGGAGCATCTTAATGGCTTCACGCATTCATTTGTCCTCGATAATCCGCGGGATTACGGACTTGAGAAGGGGATTCCCTCTAGAAAAGGTTTTGAGCGGTTTGGTATCAGCATGTACCATCAGCTCCACTGCTTGGTATGTTTTGGCTCAATCCCATGAAAACAATTGTACGGTACACGTCCAGTACATGTATATATGAAGAAAAAATAATGATGATGATGATGATGATGATGATGATAATGATGATAATCTTTCAGTTACTGATCCCCAGCTCATAGGCAAGCATTCGAATGGCCTATTTCAATCAAACAGACAACCATCAACATCGACGGGATGAGGTGGACATGAGGCTGCTGAACCACCTTCACGTTGATCATTGCTTTGATTATCTGAGACAGGCAATCCGATGCTCTGCCGACCCCACAATTGAGTGGGGTCGAGTGGAAAGGAACGGAAAGCGAAAGGAAATTGATGGATGGGGTGTTCCTCACCGCATTTGCAAGGATGTGAATGTTTTTGAAAAGTTTATTGCGCAGCACCAATAAGCTTCTTCTTTTTTCCTCCTCGATCTCGCGGCCAGCAAGAGGGAGGGAAGGGAAAAGGAGTGGGGTTTGGGGGAGAACGTTTTGCAGTTAATCATGGAGTGGGCGAGATAAACTATGTAACAAGCCGTACGGAGTACAAATCGCAAGATCTGCCTTCCTTGTTACCAGGGAAGGATCACCATCATCAGGGATGTCTAGACAAATGCCTACTAGAGGCCTTCCCTTTTCGCCGATTTTGCCTTCACCCTACGTAGCCTTTGCCGGAAGAATCGAAATGGAAAATCAAAATTTCTAACCATGCCATGCCTAGTGCTGAGCATCAACATGATTAAAAATTGATAGAGTTTAGCTCCTTTTTTATCCTCTTTGAGATCCTGGAATCCTATAACATTGGGATTATATTTTTCTTCTAGAGATGTAAACATATACGAATCATTGTCAGGTAATTAGAGGGATGGTTGATAGACCCTGCTGATGGATGCTCCTGAGTGGAGATACTGATTTAGATGACGGGCACTGTTGCTTGAACATGGGTGATTCGAGCCACGATGAGAGCTATTTTCCCCGCCACGTCAACGAGGTACCTGGCGCTCGAACTGCCGGATCCTGTTGCCCTTCCAAAATTTTCGGGATGTGCTATATGACGACAACAGAATTTGAAATTAGAAATCGGCAATAAAAAAAAGCGGAAGACGGCAGTGGAATCAACCTACAATGAGTAAGAAACGGGTTCAGAATCGAGCTTCCTCATTTGGGCTTATGAATGCGGGATGGACCGAGCTGTGTGGTATTGGTTACAGCGCTAGGGACGGCGGCGTGTTGGCCCAGGAATAATACCCGCAAGCACGACACAAGCACGACGGGCATAAGACAGGCATCCCGCCACTGGATGTGGATTCTCCACGGCAACGTAGCTGAATGCAGAGACGTCAGCGGAATGTCGAAAAAGAGCGAAGAGCGAAGAGCAAAGAGAGATGACGGCTGATCCATGCCTGATGAAAGAATGTATGTATTGTACTCCGTATGTACTGTACATCCAGACGGGTTGAAAATCATAGAAAATAAAAATAAAAATAAAATAATAAAATAATAAACAATCGGATTGGATCTGCTGCCAATATAATAATAATAGGAGTCCCGTTGCTTGTTTGATAGATGGCTCACGTTGAAAGCCTTGTCCAGCACGTATTTTTCCTTTCACCATCTCATGGTCCTCCATTCATCCCATGGCTGCAACCACAGTCAGAATGATTTTGCATCATCTCTCCTTAGGTTTACCATGACACCGAAACTCTGACTCGCATTGCTAGCCTATTGGTCTCTCGTTGTGATCTTCAAGGACCCATGTGAGAATTCAATTCAAGTCTCTTGGAATCGTTTTCGGGTGCAACCTTTTACCCCATACTGCTCAGTGCTCGGGGGAAGTGAGATCCCACTCTGCAATCACGGCAGGAGATCTCAAAACCTTGTTCTCCGACTCTACCCAAACCAGGTATGTACCCCTCGCTTCAGAGCGATCGATGAAAAATTAAGCAATGGGTCCAAGAATGACCCTCGATACCAAAACATCATATGTGGAAAAGCTGTCCTAAGCCTGTCTATCGATTGCTATGAAGCGACTAGCGGATCAACTGCTCTGCGGGTTTTTGGGTCGAAGTCAGAAATATGCAAGGTTCTTGCTACTTCCCGCTAAAATAAAGCCAGTGTGTAGTTACGGCAAGTGAGTTTATCGTGCTTGGTTGACTAAAACGTGAGCAACTAATTTCCCATGGTTAGCCATGTGAGCATGCATATGCAATATACCACAAAATATTATTAATAACGACCCAGATTAGCCAATTCTGTTGGGATGGGACCTTGCATCCTGCAGATATACATGTGAATGTTAACACTCTTCCTTGGCCAATGTTGTCATTGACATTTTCTGACGGTTATTTCATTAAAGAACATAAGTCCACACAAAGTTGATCTTGCCGATGTGGCAATCGTCAGAAGAGAACAAAACCGAGGAGAAAACTTCTCGAGAGCAGCTCGCGGCGAAAGAACGCCGTCGTCTTCAGAATCGGATTGCTCAAAGGAATCACCGTACGCTGTCCATCCCTTATCCAGAGGAGAATCGGCGACCAAAGCTAAGTGACATGAATAGGTAAAAAGAAGGCCCCAGCTGAACGGAAATGAGGAGCAAAAATTACGAGAGGGTCCCAATGCACATGCCGATGTGCAGGTACAGCTGAGCAATAATATCAAATATAACGAACACGCTTCGGACGAGGATCCCGCGAATGTGCATGGATCACTTGCCCTTTCGCATCCCCCGCCGTTCGGTAAGGCCTGTCGCTCGTCAAACATTCACGACCACTATCGGCATATCCCCGCTGTATGGCAATCCGACAATCAAATCATAAACCACTCCTCTCGCTCCTCCCAACAGCGCCGGCGCGCCGACGAGACTTGCAGCACGAGCACCACCCTGGGGAATTTGTGGAGGGACCAGGATATCCCCCAAAACCCCAGTGGAGTCGCAGGGCCCCAATTCTCAGAAGATGTAGGGAATCTAAGTTGCCTGGTGACCAACAGTCCTGACCTTAGCGCGGCGTTCGATGGGACGGATTCTGATATCGGCAGCCCTGCCGCACAATCTTATTCTGCGGCGCTTGCTACAATTGAACCCTGTCCACCTCTATCATCCGCACAAACATCTGTCTCCGAGGATGATCTCGGCTTGATCGGCGTTCCCCCAGGATGGCCAGGGAATATATTCGGCCCACCAAAAAGACTGCGCTCCTATAGCGAGAACACAGGAAGGATCGCCCAGAGCTCTCCTTTTCTCATGAATTTAGAGAGCCATTCAGAGCCCGAAAAATGTCATGATGACTCCGAGGGCAAAATGGCGCTTCACCTATCCGCAGAGAATGGCCACGCCAATATTGTGCGATGCCTCTTAGAATTCGGGTCCGATATCAACAAGCGCGATGGGTCTGGGGCTTCTGCGTTGCATTACGCAGCTGGAACAGGGAATGTGGAGGTTATATCAATCTTGTTCGAGAAAGGCGCTGATGGGAATATAATAGACCTTCAAGGACGCACTCCTCTGCACATAGCGGCCGAAAGGGGCCACGAAGCTGCTGTTAGGATTTTAATTCAGTCAGGAGCCAGGGTAGATATTCAAATCCAAAGGAATCACGTTTCCAACAGATATAACACTTAAATATAAACCCATAGCCAGTGCTCATTTTGAACGCATGTCTCTAGAGCATCATCGCATTGAGGGCCACGTGCAACATAGAGGTTGAAAATCATGTCAGCTTTTCTCAACATTGTCATTTATACAATATAGACATTTGCTCAGTAGATGCCGTAAGGCTGCGTAGTTATAGTTATATATGCCAATGTAACTTAGTTAACTATAACTACCTTCTCTAATTAGTAAGCCAGTGCGCAAGGGATAATATCTACCTGGAGGAATTTTGGCCGGTATCTTTAAAAACTGACATTCCAGAATGGATTTGAACTTTTCAGCCTCGCATGGAGCTGCTGAACATATTCGCAATTCTCAATTCTCGCTTCCCTGAAAAGCGAGTCATTAGATAGTATCGCTGGAGTCAGAGTCCATAATGTCGATTATGTGGTAATGCTTGGCCAAAATATCCATATACATCTCCAGCCTAGCGCTTAAAGCGCTCCTCAACATCGTTACACCACCTGGTATTCGACAAGAATAGCACGTGTGAGAGATAGCTGGAATAAACGAAGTATGGTCCAACAGAGATCCATGAAGGGGGATCGGGAGGGAGGCAAAGGCGATGTATAAAATACAGAAGTCACAGTTGCCCTAATTCAAAAGCGGATCAATCAGGGCTAAACTTTATTGCAACCTCTCCTAAACTTCCCGTCTGCGCCGGGCCAATGTAAGTGAATTTGAACCGCCGGTCTGGGTTGCTTACTAAGCTGTGTTCTCCTTTCCAACGTCACGTCTCTCAAGTTAAAAATTTTGCTAGTCCCTTCATAGCGAGATATATCTCGTTGAGCCTTCTAACGCTAGAAAATTTGTTTATAACACTCATATGGTTCTGTGCGTAGCCTTTCGATCTCTGCTGTGTTGTATTACCCCTATCTACGTTGATTTGGCTCCTCCCTGAGTTTCAGCCACCCAAATACTGCAGACCCCCAATGGTCTCTCCCCTTATATTTCCCCACTGCATCGGGCCAACTTTTTATTTCCGTCACAAGATTCCTTAGCTCTTCTAACGGGAGTGCCTGGAGACGCGTTAGGGAAGTTTTTACTCCAAACACTATCGCTCTGGATTTCGGTAATCTGCGAAACGTCTGTCTTTCGCGACGAAGAAGAATATCCTCTGGCCGAGGTTCAACATCTCTGTGGCCCAATCCAACCGGCTGAAAGAGAATCGAACTCAGCGATTCATCAGGCTTCGTTACTTGAATAAAATAACTCGACCGTTCCATTGGCGAGTCTACTGTTAGCCGCGATAGAAACCTACAGTTCAATCAGTCGAATTGCACTTTTCTTTGGTCGATGCTGGGATATGACCAACTTATTGACAGAGAACTCAATCTCCTTATGCCATAGAGGAACAGGCCCATGCATCTGAGCAATGGTATATCCAATTCTCTCCATGGCGCACCATCCCACGGGGAATAGACTGGCTGTCGCCGCTCTACCTTGTTTTCAGCAAGTGGTCCCTCGGCGGGTTATAAGTTGATAGGACTTACAGGTAACTCTGACCAGCTTCATTCTCCAATATGATACTGAGATCTTCCATCGCAAGTCGAGCTGCTATCTCGAGTGGCTCAAACCTATTGGTGGGATCTCCGAGATGGTATACCTCGCCTGTCGTTGTGATACTAACCTCATTTTTATCCATCTCAAATACATCAGGGTATCGACCGCATAGATATGTGGCAACTTCATGCAGTAATTCCTTGCAAGCATGTCGGGCTTCGGGGAGGCATTGGAATACTTTGATTCTTTGAGTCCGAAAAAGGGAGTCGCGCAACTCGTGCTGCTCCATATAATTTTTATCGATCGTCAACCAGTTGCGCTGATCGAGCCTTCTGAGCCCCATGGTGGTGCGGTACTTGGCCCTGCCCTTGATTTGTTCGACTGGGTAAGGAGACAGGTTTTCCAAATCAAAGCCTGCTTTCCCCTTTCCCACTTTGGATTTCAAGAACGACCAAATAATTTCACCGAGGAGGATAAGGAGAAGTAGAAAAAAAAGCAAATTCCAGAAGACTTCCATATTGACCTGCGAGGCGTTTTGGTCGCAGTCACCCACAGAATTCAACACAATTTGTTTCGACGGATGCGGATTAACTCAAAAGATCATGAAGTAAGGGGCGAGTTGGCGGCCTTAAGGTCATGTATGAAATCAACTGGAAACATTCATTTGAATAATACTAAACGTCTTTGCTCCATTTTTCTTCTTGCTGTCCTAGATTTTCCTCAATAGAAAATCTAGGAGGAGGTATTGCCGACGTCCCAGCCCATCAGAAAATTAAAATCCTCCCTACTGGTAGGATTGATATGAATTTTGGCGGTCTCTGCGGGTCTAGTTCTTTCCAAGACTGATGTGCATAACTCCGGCATCTGAGTTTAAAATCGAATAGCAACACTTATTCCGCGAGAAGTCCGTACGCTAGAGGCCCTGCATTACTTATGTGGACCCTATGCAGAGCCACCAATCCTGCTTGGAAGTATTATATTGTCGTGTTTTTGTCACATTAGTTTGGCTTCTCTGTGCCAAAGAACGATGACGCTCAAGACAAGGATATGTGCGCATGATACAATTTCTACGAAAGCTCCATGGGCTATTGGGGGAAAGAATTTCGACAACAAAAATTAAATGCCGTCAACCGACTGCTGGGATTGATCCTCAGGATTGCCATTTCTCCTGCATTGTTTTGCTCGCATGTGTCCACGGGTGTTTTTTTTTTTTTTTTTTTTTTTTTTTCTCACCGTTCTTTCTATATCGCCGCTTTCTTCTCAAAAGCCGCGGTTACCGCCAATCCATGTTTGGGCCATTTCTTCAGACCATCAGAATTATGAATTGGAAAAAGTATAATTGAAAATTTGATAAACTACCCTGCGCAAGCCGTTTGCCTTCTTTCCCGGCCGGTTATCTAAAGATATCCACTTGTCAATGTGGTTCGTGAGCTTCCCTCCGCTCATCTGGCATTTGTTAATTAAGCATCCAATTGTTACAGATCAGAATTTTGGGGCCGATGGCTGTCTGCTATTGGCCCTTTTTCACGTTGCCCATTGTAGCGCGCTAATTAGTGCTACATCAAAACCTTAAGTTTCCGCCATATCCCAGCGGCTCCTTGCCAAGTACCAATGCTTTGGACAAACCTCCTCAAGTCCTAGTCGAACATGATCCACAATCATCACAACAAACCTGAATAAACGGGGAGTCAACTGATTTGCCAAAAGAAATTTCCAAAGGTAATACTATAGAGTTTTTTCCCCAGGGTCTCGAATCCGGACCCTGAAGACGCCACATTCCACCACAAACTTCTTTTCCTACTGACCCTCACTAGATCGAGTAGTACTCTGCAGGCACGGAAAAAGAAATGAGAAATGATAAGAAACCACAATGTTACGACTGACAAAGCAAGTGGTAAAATGTAGTGCCCCCCCGCACAGAAATTCTGGTGGAAAAAGTTCATCGATGCCAACTCCACTTACAATGACGAGACAGTAAAACCCTGTCCATCAATTGCTTTGTTGTCTTCTTGTATTTTTGTCGTTCCGGGCGGGTAATGACACAAATCATTTTCGTCCTTAGAAGGTTGGAAACAATGACTATGTATAGACGACTGGAATTTGAAAACCCCGAAGTACGATGTAGCCCTCCCCATCAGAAATCCTAGACAACTTTGGGATCGGTAAATGTTTCGTGAAAGCCACATTTGACGGCCTAATGCTCTAGTTAATTAACTTTTCTTTGTCCCCAATAGCTTCTCCGCAAATCTATCAAACCCTCCCGTTCTCCAGTGGATGTTTACCGCTTGTTGAATAATCATCATCACCATCACCACAGAAAGGAACAAAACAGCATAGACCGCCATTCCTGCTGTGGCAATCAAATTTATGTCTGCAAACACTTCTAACTGGCATTCTGAAAACCACTCAAGGGCTACCACTCATACACTGGCTGCTCATGTCGGATTCTAAAGGAAATAATTTCAATGGGATTACATCATTTTCTTTGTCGGATAGTTACTGCATCCCTAACATTTACAATCGAGCCAGTATCTACACCCGTGTATACTGTCATGTTGTGGTGAATGTTGACTGGCAATTGTCCCTAGGAACTATTGCTGCAGCTTCTGAGGTGTTTGAACCTCGCGGCCTTTGACAATGACAGCCGTTCGTTGACTTTTGCTGTGGTTTCTTCTCCTTGGTGGGTTCAGAATGGAAGATCAAATCACAAAACGGTGGCGCGCGTCTTAAGCCTTTCAGATATATTACTTTTTTCCTTCTCTTTGTCTCGACCAATTCCAACCTGCACGCGAGTGGGGAGAGAAACGCGAGAAATTGGATATTTGGATATTTTCTGCCAGCCAACCACGGGGCATGGAATGACGACTTCGAATATACCAGAAATGATATTTTCGATGAACCCTCAACTTGGATCTGATTCAGCGGATTCGGTTTCGCGTACTTCCAGCCGAGGAATTCCCATTTGCTCCGAGGATACGAAAGAGCTGATTGTTTCCCGGATTTCCTTCATGTCTCGTGCCCTCCCAGCCCACTTGCACCCCCCGTTTCCACATCTCTAAATCCCCATCTCGCAGAACATTCGCTCTCCGGAAGTTATCAACATCAAAAGAACCTTGCAAAACTCGAAAGTGTATTCGTATAAGAGCGCCACGTCACAAAATATCGGATTTCTCGGTCATTCTTTTCCCTCATCATTGCCACCCCTTGACGCTTGTTTCTTTCTATCCTCACTTAATCAATCCCAAGCATTCACCGTGGCGATGATCTGTCAACCCTATATAGTCTCATCAAAATACGTGAATACAAATAAGTGATCTCCCGATATTCAAACTCTTAGTCAATATCATACACTACGAAAAGTTGAGGTACAACTGTCTGAATTCTCTATCCATCGCTAAATCACAGAGACGTGAGATATGAAGACTCTGTGATATAGTTATGGAAGTATGTATGTGATATGAGAGGACTTCCAGATGCCTCCCGGCATTGGCATCTGCTACTGTGTGATCTTTTTCCATCAAAAGTGCCTATGTCTTGTTTTTACTACAGACTTCTGACGAGCTGTTCATTCTACACGACTAAGTATTTTAAGAAGCTTGCCTGTGTGTAAATAGCCAGGCACCGTACATAACGCTCAATTCTCATGAATAAGTGATACGTAACATGAATAAAAGGTAGATGATGCCTTTTCACAGTCGCAAATTTTCCAATGGCTATTGAAGGGCAATTGGCCGGCATTTCATCACATGGTTTTCACTCATATAGCACCAATCATACTTTTCTTGTCTTTTAAAGAGATTTTATGGGGCTTGCTGCAGTGTGTTCCCACCATTCGATAGGGGACAAATGGCCTCCCACTTTTAGTATTCATCCGCTATGTCAT